CATTTATCTGTACAGACAATAGAAACTTTCACTGCTTCTTGGCATCATCTTCCACACTGTATTTATTATTCACATGGTGCCAGAGCCGTGTATACTATGCAGGGAACTTTACTGTCAGTGGGAATTACATGCTCATTTATATTGCTTAGATATTTCAAAGAAGTAAGAGAGCTCAAGATGGTTTCGGAATAGCATCAGCCTGTTGGATTTCTTGGCTTCTCCAACTCAATTTTAAGAAACCATCCACGCTAATGCCTTTATCAGATTCAGCTTCTGATTTACACGTGAGCTTTTTGTAATAAAACTGCCTTTGTTTTCCGTACTGCTCTGAGCACACAGATGAAGTGTATTAAAGCACTGAAAACTCTCTGACAATGGAGATCCCAGAAATAACCAATAGAGCTGGTGACAGCTGGTGATAAATGTTTGTGTAGTATTCATACAAGCTCAGAATATTTTTAATATAAGGCAGAAGCAGAAATAATGACATTACTGAGGAAAAGAAGTTAATGTCGCACTTCTGCTTAAGAGCAAACACCAGAAATGCCGGTAACTTCCTGAAGTTGCTCAAATGCAGCAGACTTACAAATCTAGATGAAACGGCTCGAGCTTTTGTGTTGAGCATGGAGACATATGGAATAACTCTGGGGCACCCAGTGAATTGACAGTGATGTAAAACTGTCTCGGTGTCTTCACAAAGGACATCTAAAAGATGCCAACAGTAGCAGCATCTTCCAGGGTCTTACACCTGTGTCTACCTGAAGAGGCATTCTGCAGAGTCAGCTCTTCGCACAGTGGCAGGGCTGCAGTCAAGTCTTGCAATGTAAGACCTCACAAGTGGCCCGAGTCCTGCCAGCAAGTAGCACCCATGTGCGTGTGTACGCCATCAGGACTTCTCCCTCATGATGTTTGCCTACCACCTTAGCACCCGCCAGCTGGCGGAGGTGATGGCTGATGTCATGCAGAGCAGAGAGGTGAAGGTGGGTTCTCTCCCTCCTTGCCCACAGGAACAGCTGCTCTGAGACAAGATGGAGGACAGCAGACCTTGCTGCCTCGGAACTCTCTTAACCTGCATCCCCAGAGGAGCTTATCACTGCCTGTGACTGCATTTCTGTCTGCTGTTCATGAGACTTTTTCATTCCTCCTTCCCCTTCAAGCTGCTTGGGTCTTATTACTTATACCACATTTGTGAGGGTTTTGCCTCTCACAAACTGTCTCTCTGAACATTCCATGAGCCCCACCACTATGTTCAAGAAAAAAATCCCCTTCTCAGCTGCTCTGCTCCGATGTCTGTTGTCTCTGAAGAGGTTCCAGAGGAACAGATTGCTCATTGCAGACCTGGTCCAGGTGCACTAATTTTTCAGAGGGTGCTGCAATTTACCCCACCAGCTACAGACTCACAATAACCACATGTTTTGGCCGGAGCTTTGCATCCAACTGGGCAAATGACTTGAGCTTTCCAAACTGGCCCTTTGATTGCATCACAGTGTTGCAAGGATTTCCTCATTATCCCCCTTCATTAGACTCTTCATTCCTCCAATCCCACTGGTTCTTCAATTTGCCTGGTTGCTGTTTCCCTGCTTCTAGCAGTCCAACCTGTGACAAGGAGCTCGTTCTTCTACAGCATGTTGCTTTTGACCATGTCTGCAGTTCCCGCAGAAGTCCTGCATGCTATGGCATCTGCACCACTGAGCAGAAAGGGAAAAACACTCCTTTGTTGAGCCTCATGTGCTTGATTGGAAAACATCCCAACTCCTACAGCTTTTCCAGAAAAGCCCTGCCTGGATTCCTAGCATACTGCATCAGGGACTTGGTGTTTCTAGGGTCTACGTTTCCTACAGAGGCTTGCTGCAGACACCAGGAGCCCCCAGCCATGGGACCCTGTGGGTGCTTCTGCTTTGCTGCCACAGGGGCTGCAAGCAGCCCCTGGCTGGTGGGTCCTGCCCAAGCTGAGGGCCAAGCACTGGGTGACCCAGCTGGGCACCCCATCCACCAGGTTTTCATCAGGGCCCGGAAACTGCCCCCCCCTCCTGTCCAGTTCATGAGCCAGGCTCAGGAGCAGGTTTCATGTCAGAAACCTGAATTTTGATGTGAAGTTTCCCATAGGAA